TGGACTAGTCGCTGCCACGAGATTGATCTGTTGAAGCCTGTTGTTCTGTTATAAAAGAGGGTGTGCGATTGCTGTGCGCTTATTTTGTGCCCCTCAAGTATCTGAAAGCTGGACCAGTGAAGCCACATTGGTTCGACAGAAAGTATGATCACTTGGCTCGACGGCGACGCGTACCGTGAAATAAGTTCACAGTGTGGATCTGCCGACGTTTGTGAGGCGTACAAAAGGCAGCGGAATCGATTCAACGGCGCAAAAATGCAATGCGTCGGCAGTTCGAAGAGGAGATTGTAACCTCAGCGAACACAGCCCCTAAGAAAAGTTTTGCTCACATGAAGCCGTGCCTGTGGCCCGCAAGTGACATATCTGTGTTAGACGGCACTGAAGGACAGCCTCTGACCTCCAGCACTGAACATACGTCCGCATTGGCGGAGCACTTCTCTTCTGTATTTACAATTAGGCATGCGCCTATACCGAGCTCGACGTGTGCAGCCCCTACGGAACTCAAGGACTGGGATTGCGGAGTAGAAGATGTCCGTAATTCACTCTTAATCTTGACGGCACGGAACCTGAGGACTCGATGAACTTCGCCCATTAATTTTAAAGTGCTTATCGGTCATCATCTTGCCTATCGTGACGGAGTTGTTCACCAAATCGCTGTCCGAGGATTCATTACCCAGCGACTGAAAATGCTCGCTAGTAAAGCCGACTGCAAAAGGCGGTGACCCTCGCAATGTGGATAATTACCGGCCGATTTTTCTAGCCTCTGTTTTGGTAAAGGTTCTCGAAAAGATGGTGAAAAGTGTCTTCTCTAGCTCCTGCAATCAAACGATCTCCTAACGCTGGCATAGTACGGCTTCATGAAGGGTCGCTCGTGCATCACCAACCTGCTGTTGACGCGGCAGGAGTGGTTGCAAGCGTGGAACTGGGGGAAGTCGGTGGATGATAGCTACATTGCTTTTAGTAAAACTTTCGGTAAAGTGAACCATGAGGTCTTACTCCACAAGCTGAGGAGGTGTGGTGTTGACAGCGTACTGCACCAGTGAAGCTGTGGATTCTTCATTGGGAGAAGATGGCGAGTACAGACAAATGGCTACCTAACGGAAAGTTACCCGTCCACTAGCGGCGTACCCTACGGCACATACTGTGGTCCGTTTTGTTAATAATCCACATCAACGAAGTACGTATGTTTCTTCGGTTGCCCTGCGCAATTTTGCAAACGAGCTGAAAATTTGGAGGATTATTGATTCTTCCGGCGAATGTGAAGTTCTTCATCAGGACCTTATCGGCCCGTAGCCTAGACGTAACGGGCTCGTCTCGTAACATTACGGCGCGGGTTTGTGTAGGAGTGGGCTTCCTCGCGGTATACTCAACCCGCGTGCGACTAGTGGTGCTGGCAAGGCAGCGAAGAGGCGTTATGTCGTATAGCTGGCACATTATATTTATTACAGCAGGACCTCAACCGCCTAGCCCGGTGGTCTACAGAAGTTGACTTACCGTTCAACCCGGCTAAGTCCTCGTTTATGAATTAGTAGTGGGGTGGTAATGGGTATGTGTAAACCCTGACCGGCAACGCGCTGCATCCCCCCATTTACCTAAAGAATCAAGGCGTACTCTGACGCTGTGATCTGAAGTCTGTCGACACCAGCAACGGACTGTACGCAAACGTACTGCGCCTGCTTTGGACACTTAGACGTAGTTGCTGCACTTTGTCTGAAGAGATTTCCACCTATCTGTTCTCTTCCATAATAAGACCGGCTCATCCGCCTATTGTCCGATCACAATAGGTTAGGTGTAGAGACCGAAACGGGTCCAGCATGTCACTACCCGGCTCATCCCTAGCTTAAGGGATATGTCATAGAAGGACCGATTTAGGAGACTAGGGCTGTATAGCTTGTCATATCGTAGGCTTCGAGTTGATCGCATAATGACGCACCGGATACTGCAGCTGGGCCACTTCTATGTTGAGGCCGCTGCTGTGCGCTCGCGCACGAAGCAAAGCATGCGGACACTGGTACAAACTAGTGGTACCAGATTTAAAGCGCATCGCCCACCCTCTATGCTTCGAGTGTCAAATGGTGAAATATTGAAACAAATTGCCAGAGACGCTAGTCGTGGCAAAATCGTGTGTCGGAATTTAAGAGATTTCTTGACGCTCACTTTGCGGACTACAGGTATAGGGAGGGTATCGCAATAGGCTGCCACAGCGCAGGAATCAGCGACGTGGTTCCGTGCATTTGCTCGATCCACCTTCGATGAAGCAACACAGAGTTTTATCTTCTTACTCTCTATTCTCAGTCTTCACTTGTTAGTATCCATTCGAGTCTCTAGATCATATATGGATAGAGTGCTATGATGATTTTACTCGGGTAACATCACGATGTATTTGGTGTTTGCAGTTGGTAAAATGCAGGCGAAATTACGTGAGAGAATTCAGTGATTATAATCGTTGTTTGTCGAGTTTTCCAAAGCATTGACACGGTGCACCGCGAGGTACTGTGGCTGATATTGCGTGAATTTCACAGTCCCATTGTGTACGATAGAGTGAAATGACGGCGACAGTGCAGTTATGTGGACACACCGATAATTTTGGTGCTGTCTCCGGTGTAAAATCAAGGCTGAGTCTTAACTCCTAGTCTGTGTAGGATTTACCTGCCACAATGTCTACTGCTTTCAAAGCATGCGATTACGATGTCCGTCCCAAGCACCTTATCGATATTGAGTTTCCTATGAGCATACTATTCTATTTTGTGAGACACTGATCCTAAAATCGGATCATACTCGCATAAATGAATTTTGATGACAAATTTTATGTTATTAAATATTTTTGGTCCAAATTCGAACACCTAATCAAGTGACTTGTAGGATGAGAATGTGGATAATAATATTGCTAGATCTCGAAATCTCTGTGTGGAATGATGTAGGGTTTTCACATGCTCTGAATGCGGTTGAAGGCTGCTCCACAAGACGGTGTATCATATGAGGAAAACGTTGGAGCGCTTGTTCAGTGATGACTGTCTGTCCGGAATGAAAAGCTGACGTCTAATGTCCTCACTACTACTGATTGCTGCTAATGTATACCAGCGATGCTGAGGAGGCGGCGTTGATCTAAAACAGACGTTTTCTGGACATCAGTCCTTCTCTCTCTGCCATAGACTCGATTTTTGGACTCAACAGTTGAATGAAAAGGTAAAAATGATGCTATCTGTTAATCCGCCACAGTTACTGCAACATAGATTGTAAACACACTTGTCGACTACTTTCAAGGAACAGTCGGGGATGGTGTGTGTACGATCAGCTTCTAACCAGTCCTTAAAATACTCTTTCGCCTGGAATGGGCAAAAGCATTCGGAACTGTGAGGTAACCACCTCTAAATTGCGCAGCATGTGCTGAGTGTCGTGTAAATAGTCACAGATTACGACGTTGTTGTCACCACACTCCAGACCACAAAGCCAATTATCCGATAGCAACTCGACACCACTAGGCCCCTTAGGTTCAAAGCAATCTCTAAAATGCTAGCCATAGCTAAGTTGTGCAGTCTAACGTCGCTGCTGATGCCGAAGGATTGTATATGATTACCATATACTCGTTCAGAGCCAGACGCTACAAAAGACATTAGATTAAGGATGTTGTCAAAGTTCCCGGACCCTCTCGTTATCAGTAGGGAACTCCAGAAAGCAGCTGTATCGACAGTCAGATAGAGTAAGCACCTCCAGGAGGTAATCGATGGTAGACTGACCGAAAACATGACAGTGTTCTTGCATCTAGTAGATTGTAAAGTTATGAGCATCACAACCCTGACCTTGGCGATACCCACTTTGGTCTGCATGTATTTGCCGTTTGCGCAACTGGCTGTCTCTGCAACGCAAAGAGGAAACACCTTAGACGCAGAGCGTAGAGAGCTGTTCCATCAACCACCTTTCTGAAGATGGGCACGAAGTTCGCTAGACCGCAATCAGACGAGAATACATTCCATGGTCCAAATCTCACGATGGATAACGATTATTTTACAAAAAGCATTGCTTTTATCAGTGAAATGAGTTGAATGCAGTTCTTCCGGGCAAGATTTGTGACGATTTGGCAGACGAAACAAGCTAGAGACCTCGGTATTGGATGGTGGAATGATGATTATATACCAGAGAGAACTGTGGATAGAAGAATGGGAAGTCGATGGCAGCAGTGGCTGGCTGAACAACATTTAAAGTGCTCTGCTCAAAGTACAAGCTAGCGTTGGCGATTGCAAAGTACACGGCAAATTCACGCTGTCACTGGATGATAAGGCGGTTGCAATGAAGCGGTTCTCACTTGCAAAATGCATGTAAAAGCGGACAAACACTTGTAATCAAAGAAAGCTTAAAGTGTCTCACTTTTCAGCAAATTTTCTGCATACTGCAGATCTATTCAATATGGGACAATTAAAATGTGCCAGCTTAACATGCCACAATTCGACGCTTGGATCCTAACCTGTTTTCCTCAAAGACTGGCTGCTCACCTGCATAAGTGGTTTGATGTGACCGGAACGTGGAGCCAAATTAATCCGTTTCGAAAGGCGCACCACAGGCTCTTTCTTAATCCAAGCTTTGGGCTCAAAGCAGCTATACAAGTTTTTCATTTGGCGCTGTCTAATTCCCCTTGTGGGTAAATAACCGACAGATGCACTGCAAACTAACCATCGTTTGGAGCGTGAGAGCTGCATTTTCCTCTGTTTAACACCGTTAAAAATTTGTGTTAAATTGCTCCAATCAAATAACAGCTCCGTCGACTTAAAGAGGTTCATATCTTGGATCTGAACATTCAAATAAAAATTTCTCAGTAAATACCTGACATAGGTTTCCTCCGTGGGTAAGTCAACATGCTCACTAGTTTCGATACCGAGGATAACACTTTAACGCTATTTGAAGGCGCAAATGTAAAGGCTAAAATAACCAACATAGAAATAAAATGTTTTCGTTCTATTCCATTCGAGAGAAAACCTTCGGAATTGCAAAAAGCGTCAGCTCACTTCATTGAATCATTAAGTGCTGCCCGAAAACGGTCATAGTAGTGATCCTCCAGCGTCAAAGTGAACACAGTTCGGTCTGTGCTAATCGCCTCTTGTGCAATGCGCATTGCTTTGTTGTCTACACCGCCATCCTTTTCTCCGCTCATTCGCTTCACCTATGAGGATAATGTCGAAGAACAAACAGCAGGCGGAAGATAGTACCTTGCTTAAAACACCATCAGCTGTTTGAAATAGCCAGAAACTTGGGCCATTTTATTAAACTTTGACTAATGCTAACGTGAACTAGGTGCATACAAATTTATGCCTAATAAAATGCAACTAACATAATCGTTTTCTGACTTCACTAGCTCGTGCACAAAGACCACTGTGAGGTGTATGTTCTGTATTGAATCTTGCTGTCAAAGGGGTGACGGGGCATTTAAATTCGACGATTTCTTTTCTCGTTGAGATATTAGTTTGCATTACCGACTGCAGATTTTATCTTTTATTAGTATCTTCGAGACATTTTTCTGTACTTGTCTCAAGGTCCGGCGTGCCCTATTCTGTTAATATTTTAAAAATTTACGCGTTACTGGCTTAAAACCGTGCTTCATCGACTATGGTCATAAAGTCAGGAACACCGAGCGAAGTATAAAGAAAAGTCTTGGAAAAAAGCGAAAGCATTTTGCTGCATGTCAGTCTGGCCTCAACCGTTGTTTTGGTGATGAAGCGCAAATCCCACTGGTACTTTCGAGTAATGTGCGCTCGTTTCTTGGTAAAATCAGTAATCCCAGTGCCATTATGCAGCAAATTGTGCATGTGAATACAGAACCCATTCTGTTGCAAGTAACTTGCTTGCATACTGATGTGAAAAATGGGGTTATTTATCTTGGTGGTTATTTTCCCATTAGGCCTGACAGTCCTGACAAGCCCCAGTTTGGTGGTGGCAGCGTTGTAACACGTTACTCTAGCTTGGTACAATTCAGCTGTACAATTCAACCGTTATATTCACATACTCAAAGACCCCTATAAGTTGCTATTCAACTGAATGCAAGCAGACGTTTTAAAGTGGCTTTCAAACAGTCACCTCAGGTAACGTCTACACTACTCCTGGCACATCTGTTTCATAGGTGAAGCTTTTTGAGAGCTAACTTTCTCCATTACTATCTAAATTAGTTTGTTCCATGTGTAGTGCATCTGGCGACTTTAATAGAGAGGATATGAAATGATATTAATGAGAACAGCTGGTTTGGTAGATTTAGTAACCTTTTCGAGCAGACGAGATATCCAGTGAGACGCAGTACGCTGTTATCCATACAAAAACGGGATACTTTGAGCATCTCAGACCAATGTGTTTTAGAATTGTGTCCAATCATATAGGGCAAATCTAATTTTCTAGGGTAACCAGACGCTCTTACAAAATTATAAACCGGCAAACTTACTCTAACGAAAATATCCCAAGGCTCCAGACGATGTTTCCTTTAACTGATTTTGCAGTCTTCAACAACAAGTACCTGTCGCAACAATGTGGCCATCTTACAGACTACATCACATGTTGCTTTGACATGTGTTGCCCAGTTGCAAGGATCTACCAAAAGGCGGATAGATTTTCATCACCACTGTTAAAGCGAGTTTGAATGATGAAAGAATGGGCTTACAGATGTAAGTTGACTACGCATGCCAAGAGCCTGACCTCATCGACTGAATTCGCTATAAAAGCCTACACGACTTATGGGTTGGAGCGATTCTAGGCAACTACAACTGTCGTGATTTATGGAGGTTTCTGAGGCACTTCTGTGGTAAGAGCATCTGCAGCCAGAGCGGTAAAGTGGATGTGTGCAAAGTAACTTCTGAAATTCGTTCTGTTTCACTAAGCTCACCTCACTAGGCCTCCTTCATTAGATGAAGTCCAGCTGCGTATTTCGATCAAAATAACGTTTACAAGGAACTCAAACGGTTAAAGTCAAACCATTAGCTTTGAAAGAGATTTGACATGCTATTTTAACAAAAATTCCTAAAAAAATTCCTCACTATGGGTGTGATACCAGACATTTTTAGAACGGCTATGATAAACCGAGTAATCAAAAAATGGATCTCAGAAGTATCGTCCGATTGCATGTACGTCAGTGCTTCTAAAGATTTTTGAAAAACTGTTAATTTCGCGGATTTTTATAGCCACTCCTGAGGATGGAGTGTACCAGTTTGCGTATAGACTCCAGTGCTCTACATTGGATGCAGTGGCAAATCCTGCTCAATCAATAGCGTCCGCATTAAACCAAAATGTAAACCCATACGGCATCTCCTCCTTGATTACTCGAATGCCTTTGGAAGCATGGATAGGTCAATGTTGCTGAACCGGTTATCTGAAAATTAAGTTTATTCGGGTGTTTTCTATCTGTTGCGTGAGTATTTTACGTATCGTAAACAATCCTCTGTCTTCCCCGCCGACTGTGGTGTTCTGAAGAAAGCGACCTTATAATCTTTTTTTATTTTCCTTATATGTCAAACGGCTCTCTATACAAACCACATTTATGAGATGCAAGTATACTGCCGAATTTGTGCCGGGATGTATGGCGCCTATTATTCAGGATTCCTCATCACTTCAATCTGAGTTGGAAGAACTAGTAGTGTGGTCTTCATCCAGCTCCCTCACATTTAACGCTACTAAGTGCAGTGATGTAATGTGGTACTTTCTGTGAACGAAAATTCCACACCATCTGCTGTCGGTCGCTGACCGAGTGGTCTGCGCAACTGGTTTGCAGCCATAAGGTAACCGGTTCGAAACTGCTTAGAGTTGGGCGTCCTTCCGGTATAGTCAACCCGCGTGCCACTGGTGTTGGTCGCGCGGCAGCGAAACGCCGTTACGGTGTACAGCCGACACTTTACTTTGTCGTTGTCAAGTATCTCGGAGTCCGTTTGTCCCAGAATCTTTCGTGGTCTACTCATGTGTGTACAATTTTCCACATAGTCAGAAAAGGTTCTTTTATTGCCTCAGACCTAAGATGGCTTTAGTAAACCGTACATTAATATTCAAGTCTGTGACCACATGCATAATTCCCAACTATACTGTTTTCCTGTCATATTCCATGGATTGCTTCAGAAAGACTGCGTCTAATATGTATGCTGCAGAGGATTGTCTAGGTACTTAGTAGATTTGGTCAGTGCTAGAAATCTTGACACCAATTAAAGGTTTTCTTCTAAGGTACTAACTGATGGATTTCATCCAATTTACAACGCTATCTCAAAAACATTTCTCTTTTCTACACGTATGAAAGTGAAAATTTTATTCTCCTGCACGTCATCGTATCGTAATACTGTCACAATTTATCTGTGAGGTTTGTTTGCTGACCCAGTGAAGGCCATAAACATGCAACGCGAGCGGTTGCTAGAGGGACAGTTGTGTATAACTTAGATTTTTTCCCCAAGTATGTATATTGATATTAGCATCCAGTTTGTTCGCACTGGTGGTATATATGATGAAAATGAACCCAATGTGGTTCATAACGCTTGTTTTGACGTGACTTGACCTCCATCTGGGTAGTGCATTAAGTCACATTTCTTATCCTTCTTTTGATTGAACATCCTGCCAAGAAGAGAGAAGAGAGTCACACTATCGTGTTGCGAACTACAAAAGATTCACCCGGCCTACACAATTTCCATGGTTAATAGAACTTTGATAAAATGAAACGTGAATACTTTCATTCATGAACTATTCATGTTGTATCCTTACTTACATCATAAGACTGTTTTGTTCTTAATAGCTTTATTTCATTTGATAATATATGAATCAAAATATATTCTCGGCTATCTTGTTAGGAAAACGCTCAGTAGGCACGGTGTCCATAATGTGCCGCAATCGGAAGTGTGGTATAGTTTTGTATCAAAACGGAAGAGAGCAGGCAAGATACCGTATGAAAAGAGGTGCTGCAGACCTTTTACACAGGTTTCGAGCGGAGCTACAATATCCATACCAATGTGCAAAATAAGAATGGTCTTACCTGCAACATACCGCTCAGGATGAACAGAGGGAGGAAAACCAACATGAGTAACGTGAGTTGCCAACTGTAGAAAAATGCGATGATCAGGGACATGATGATGAGTACTGATGACTCTAAAATGAATCCGAGCTGCGCTCCAGAGAGTGCTTTGAGTTTTGACGCTTCGGTTGCCAGTCTGGAGGTCAAAGCGCCAGGCTGATTTTCCGGCTGGTCGAACCATCCAATTTCCTGCGATTGCACAAAGTAAAAGTGAAAACAGATGCGCTTTTTGTTTAAATTAGCATATACATTTTCTGATTATAGTATGGATTCAGCGTAGCTTCGCGTTAGGTTCAATTTTTCTCGGGTTATATTGAATTTAGCATTGTGCAAGTTCAAGTTCAGGTGAAACTGGAGCGATAGGATGAATCCAGTAAGCGTTCCTTCTTGAGCGGGTCAATGATAGGGGTGCTATGATTTCGTGATGGATTTAAAACGAAACCATCCGAAAAAAACCTGGTCCACCAATTTAATGCCCACGTTCTTTACATTAACCGTCCCTGTTATGCCAACTACGTGAAGTAAGTAGGAGAGAAAGGAAAATCGAACGTAAAGAGTAAGGGAAATCATTTAAAAGAAGAGAATAATACCAATGGTAAGGGGAAGTATGGAAAATAGAATAAAAGTATGAAGAGGGAAATTTAAGTGAACCGAGACCGCAATAAAGGTTGCGGGTAGCAACCCAACCACACAGCGTGCTCGCTAAATTCAACTTTGAATTGCTTTCCGCTTTACTAAGCGTTGCTCGCAGATCTCAGTAGCACAGTGTTCAGGAGGAGGAGGAGCCGTGATCTACTACGCTCTGAGTTCCATCCCAGCTAGGAGTTCAAATCAGGACGAAACCGCGGTCGTGGTGTTCCAGTGTTGGGAGGAGCAACACCCAAATATTTCTATTCCAGCTGCGGTCCTCGCGATCGGAATGACCAGGGGTTTACGTTAAAGTGAACCGAGGTCGCAATAGAGGTTGCGAGTCACAACGCAACCACACGGCGTGTAAGCTACATTCAAGTTTGAAGATGGGAAATAGTTAGGAAAAAGGAAAGGCTTCGTGTTGCCACCCAAAAGCATCTGGTTGACGCTCAAACCGCTTAACCTTACCTTCCTTGACCACATTTTCTGGAAGCAAGTTCCAGCACTCGATGATTCGACGCGATAACCGTGTCTCCGCTTTAACTCGATCGGGCCGCCGTTTGTTCAGCTTTAGACAATGCCCGTGGAGACTAGATCACCTAGCAGGACTAAATAGCCAAGGCAAATCAGGGCCAAGCTACCCAGTCAATATACGGTAGTTTAGGAGTAGATCCCCTCTAATCCTTCGATAGTGCACTGAATTCATCCCCAAACTAAGTAAGCGTTCGGACTACGTTTGTCCTTGTAACCACTTATTTGTTGTTAACTGTGGGTGTTGTGAATCTAAGTGGATCGCAGGACTGCAGCGAAGCAAACGATAAGTCCTTATTTTCGTATTTAAAGTATTAACTATTTTACTATCCTTTTCATCATAATTATTATGTTGATATCCCCACCAACTATCCAACGGGGCTTGTAAAGCAACGCTTCTTAATCCGTATAAATTCATTGTTCACTTGATCAACCTAGTGCCGACATGCAACACCCTTTCTAGTGTTTTGTCCCGGACAAGGCACGGTGGACAGGCCTGGGCGCAGTATTCTAGTTGGGGTCGCACAAACGCTGAGAAGAGCTTCACAAACACATTAGCGGTTACGGTCCCGAAAGAACGATGGATAAACCACAACATCCGGAACCCTTTACTAGCCGCTTCTTCCAGTTGTCTCCAGAATGCAGTGTGGAACAGTGGACAACACCTAGATCAACCTGATGAGTCACGTGAGGAAGTTCACTCCCATCGAGCACATAACTTGTGGAGGAATTAGACGCTCCGATACGCAACACTGAACACTTTGCCCGGTTTATGGGTAGCAATCACAAGACCGATCATTCCCAGAGTCTATCCAGAGTCCGTTGAAGAGCCAAAAGACCTCCAGGGATATCAACAATATTCCAGAGCTTTAGGTCATCAGCAAATAAGAGCGATGGTAGTTGAAGCTCCTCCGGCAAGTCATGCACATCGACTGAGAACAGCAGTGGACCTAAGACAGAGTCTTGCGGAACGCCGCTAAGGACAGCTTGTCGAAACGAAAAGTTGCTTCCCACACGAATACACTGTTCCTGTCCATCCAGAAAAGCTGACGCCTTCTGGAGAGCGCGCCCAGATATTCCATAGGACCTCAACTTCAGTGACAGTCGCGAACGCAGGACAGTGTCAAAGGACTTGGCGAAATCAATGTACACCACATCCACTGCATGTCTGCTGTCTACGGCTTCAGCCTAGCTCTCACAAGCTACCAGCAATTTCGTTTGACACGAAAATCCTTTGAGCAAACCACGTTGTTCGACGCTAAGCAGGTTAAACCTATTTAAATGATTCTCCACTGCATCTTGTACTATTTTTTCAAATAACTTAACCACCACGCTAGTCGTGAATGCATTGCGCACTGTAAGCCATAGTTAGACCGTGATTCACATTGGATTGAACCTTGGTCAATGTGATCAATGGGACCGTAGCCAAAGCACATGGGAATTGGGTGTTGCCTGTTCGAACATACTGCACACCACGATGCATTTCGAGCTCATTTGCTCTCATGCAGTGGAGATTGCAGGCCCCGTAACCGTAACAATTGAATTAGTAGCCGAAACCTCCACCCCATTAGCTAGTGGGTCAAGACGGGAAACGCTTGTCACAACGGTCAAAAACTGCTTGGAGGGCCGTTTTAGAGTACAGGTTGTGAAGAAACGCGTCGTGGTGTACCACAAGGAAAGCTGCATTCAAAACCTTTTCAGAAGGGTCGAATACGCTGCAGCACTACGGAATTGCGGAAGAAGAACTAGTACCATCTATATCGAGTATTGAAAATAACAGGTATCCAAGCAACTTCATCAGAAGAAGCTTAAAGAAAAAAGTGCCTCAATAACAGCAGGGGAACGCAAATAAACGGGTAGCGCTTCCCTACATAAAGTACGTGTCTGAACTAACATGAAAATTACTACGACCACCTGGAATATTGGTAGCCCACATACCAACTGGTACTTTAAGAAAATTGCTTTCAAGACCGAAGGAATGGTTAGACAAGGCATTCAGAATGAGGAAATCTACAAACACTACATCAGACAAACTTGAAGGAAACATTTAACACGGATCAACGAACACATAATGGCCATACGGTGGCACGACGCGCATTCACTGGTTTTCATGTATGAAGACCAAGAAGGCCACCACTTTGACTTAAAGAACATAATGATTCTAGTCCGTGGAAATTCGAGTTCTTGGAAACATGGTATTCTACAGACAAGTTAATAGACCAACGAGTTGAAATGGATGCTGTATATGCGGCGCTACGGAGGAAAGATCACCAAATAAGTAGACTAAATCTAACGGAACAGAATGCCGGACAAATGTGTCAACCGCCGCGGACAACCGAAGCGGCACGTTCGTACGCTACGAGGCGAGAATCAGAGATCGATTTTGTTGGTCATGTGACGGTTGAACGATCCGAACTCAGACTGACGGCTAGAAGATCAATCACTTACACTCACTGACGCTTGGTACCGCGCCGCTCTTCTACATACACGCGCACTGAGGATGTCACCTCGGGTGGTGACGAGACGTTTGCAGCCAAACTGCTAAGCTTATACTCAGACCACCAACGTTTCCTGTTTTGTTCTGTGCTTGTCTTCTGACCGTTTCAAGGGGAAGATAGAGCTACCATGGAACTAACATTATCAGTTGCCCAGCATAGGCTCTATGCAGTATTGAATTTCTTCTTTGTCATCTTGACGCATAAAGACTAATTTGCACACAGTCCACTCGGCTTTATTAACACTAGTTTATAGATAGCTAAACACAGGAATTATTCTGCCAACACCATCTCATTCGTATCGGTGCTTTCTAAGTTGCAACTGAAACTCAAGCCTACAACCAGCATACTTCCACGGATCTAACACAGAATTTACCATTGTTCAAACGAGTACAACAAGGGATCTCCAGTAAGCCCTAGATCAGTGCCATATTACGTTATATGCGATGGTTGCAGCCATTTTGCATTTGCCAGATGTGCATCCGTGCCCAAATCATCATCAGCAGGATCAATACGCGTTTGCTGGGGGTGAGAAATACACATAAGCTAATGTACTGCAATGCAAATAAATAAGATACTAGATATTAACGACTTCAAAAACAAAAGTAAGCAAGTAAAATAATGATGAATTGCACATTTTGTATTAGGTTTGAGGTCGTAAATGAAGTGGGAATCCAAGTGCGGGGTGGACAAAGAAACGTACAACAAAGCCGCTAGTGACATCGGCGCTTAGATATATCAGCAAGGGGATCCAACTAAATGTGTTAATAGTCCTTTGTACTCAATCCGGCGATCGGAACACACCAACCAACGCCAAATGCCATGTCAGCCTTTTCGTTCATTCGTGTCCACAATACTGACTCTAACATCAAGGTGCAGCTCAAATCGGACGACCAATTTCTACCCAGCAGAAAACAATTAATATATTCCTGCATTAGCTAAACGAACGTAGTTTTGTATTATTATACCTGTTGGTTAGCCATCATGATCACAACTCACACCACCAGTCCCTTGAACACGTGTGCGCGCTTTGCCAACCGTATGAACTGAAACCCGTGTCAACAAGTGATTCGTGGTTAATTTGAACCGCTACTCACTCTACAGAACGATTAGCTAACTAAACTCGTGTACGCACCATCACCACTTTGACCGACGAGGTTTCGGAGTGTCCTGTTTAGATAACCTCTGCCGCGAACGTGATTCTCCGAGGCATGACAGAATTGGTGATCACTGCAGCATGCACCTGCTGTTAATAGGAAGCAAAGGGCAATGCATCCCACCTGAACATCAACTGTGATGCCATGGACGGTTTCAAGATTTCATGACTTTGAAAAGCATGCTCCAAATATTGTAAAGTATTTCATACGAAATGTGATCACTTAAAGCGAAGCTAAGTAATGAAACGCAACAGCACAGTCCAATCCGTCTGCATCTGCACAGAATTTACTGTTATTCCACCAGTCAGGAGGATAGTTGTGTTTGCTTACAATTTTAACCGTTCGGTAGTTGTAAGGTGCGCAACCACTGCAAGAG